TGTATTTTTGTGGTGGGCTTGAATACTGTTTGTAGGCTGTGTTTTTTCAAACGTTTCCCCATGCTGTCCATGGCCCCTTTGATGTATGGCAGAAATACTTTATTTGTGGGTGGCTGTTATTCTTCTTCAGTTCAGTGTTTTTTTCTTGGTTTGATGTCTCTTGTTATTTCATTTGGAGTCACGGTGAAGAAAAATTGGAAGAATTTCTCAACCATCTCAACAGCATCCACCCAAACATACAATTCACCATGGAAAAAGAAATGGAGGGCCAAATGTCGTTCTTAGATGTCATGGTCCTACGCAAAACTGACCTCCGACTGAGACACAAGGTCTACAGAAAACCCACCTACACAAAAACTCCAACCACCACCCACAGCAAAAAAGAGGCATAATCAAAACACTGGTAGACCATGCAAATCGGAACTGTGAAGCTCAGTTTCTCAGCACTGAACTCAACCATCTGAATTGGGCCCTACAGGCAAATGGCTACTCCAAAAATGAAATCCTTAGCACAACAATACACCCACAACAATACACACTAATCACCCATCTACAGAAAAAGACAAAATCCTATCTCACAGCCATAAATACTGCACTCCCAAGCCAACTACACCAGAGCACAGAGTGCTGTCCTCTGAAGATGCCGGCCACACAGACTGGCAAAATGTTAAGAAGAACAACCTTCAGAACACGGCCAAAGAGCCCGAAAAATCCACAACAACCATTAGATCCCGGCCGTGAAAGCCTTTGCGAATATATTATCTAATTTTTGTTTGTTATTTTTGCTAAAACAAAAATGCCATGTGTATAGGACATAATTAGTCTGTTCTTACACAACTTTGAAGCCTGTTAATTCTGCAGGTAAAATGCTTGAAATATATTAACACTGTAGTCACATATACGTATTAACAGAAATACAAAATGAACAATTTACATTTACAATTAATTTTTAGCTGAGCACAGGAAAGGCATGGGATAAGGCATGATACAACATTAAGTTTCAAAAGTAAATAGGATGAGAACTGTGTATCACCACAGACATCTCTTTGTCCAGGGCCAAATTATTCATTGCATTAATTATACAAATGCAATTTAAAATTCACAATATCTGCTATGTAAACAGCAGCAGCAAACATTTGGATCCCACAGAGTAAGAATGGAGAGTGTAACCACACCACAAAAAATTGACCCCACATACATTATTTGCAGTGGGAAGTCTCTACTGGCACAAAAAGAAGCCCAAATGGGCCCTTGTGTATACTCCTCCTGGGTAGGTTTTTTCCTGCAGTGGTCCACTCCCTTCCTTTGTAGAAGAAAGCCTTAAGGTACAAGACTTCTTGCCTGAAACCTAACACTCTGTCACCACTTTACTGTTTCTAGAGCAGTGTTTCCCAACCTGGGGGGTCAGGATTCCCTAAGGGGTCGCAAAACATTTTCGGGTGGGCAGTAACTTTATATGTGTTGCAGCCCTTGTTAAATAATTCCCACTTTTTCACCTTCTGGAGTAGCATATTAAAGTTAGCATGTATTGAGTATGTATGAGAAACACGCTTTGGGGGTGGGGGAAGGGAGAAAGAAGCCTCTACTTTATCAGAAGGGATTACCGCTAGGTTATAGAAAGAAAGAAAGAAAGAAAGAAAGAAAGAAAGAAAGAAAGAAAGAAAGAAAGAAAGAAAGAAAGAAAGAAAGAAAGAAAGAAAGAAAGAAAGAAAGAAAGAAAGAAAGAAAGAAAGAAAAAGATGCTACTTCTGCAATACTCATCTATCATGCTCAAATATTACCCCCTTTTGAGAGAGCCTAAAGAGGAGGAGGAAAAGGAAAACAAACCACCACCCACAACAACCCCCAAGGAGGGGGGACACAAAAACAAACGGACTGCCTCTTCTGCAGTGAATGCAAAGAAAGCTCTGTTCCAGTTTCTGAGGGAGATCCTTTTGCCCCCTCCCTGGATACCATAATATCCTTCTGCCCATCTTTGAAGTCCTTTCCCCTCTCTTCTCTGTATCTTTAGCCTCCTCCAAACTGTTCTCTCCCCAGTTTTGAAGTGATGGTGGCAAAGTTGGAAGCAGGAAAAGTAGATCCCCCCCGCATCCTGAACTATATTACTATTGTTGTTTTTTATTTTATTATATTGTTTTTATTTTATTTTCTATTGTTAGCCACCCACAGTAGACTTCAGTCTAAATGGGTGGGGTATAAATTTAATAAATGAATGAATGAATAAATAGATGGAGGAAGATGACAGTAGTCTTATGTAAATATGGCAGGGGGATTGAAATAAATAGATGGAGGAGGATAACAATAGTCTTATGTAAATATGGCAGGGGGATTGCAGGTTACATGGCTATTATAAAAGGGGGCTGCGAGTAAAAAAAAAGATTGGAAACCACTACTCTATAGGCTGCAGCAAGAAGCTGATATGATGAATATGAGGCCCCTGGTGAAGAAAACATATATAATATCTGAATCTGACAAAGAAATAACTTTAGGCTGGAGTCCCAGTTCAGCAGTTAGTTAGTTATTTAAAATATTTTTACCCCGCCTTTCTCCTTAAAAGGACCCAAGGAGGCTTACATCATTAAAGAGCAGCTTTAACCCACACAACAGGCTGTAAGTAATCCAAAGGTTTGCAGAGCTACAAACTATCTTCGACACTGGGGAGATGGAGGGGGAACAAAACATGGCCCATTGTAGACTGAGGAAGCCCAGTGCATACAGAAAGCTGGCTAGCTGTTAGGAGGAACAGTAGAAAACTAGAGTGGTCATGACTGGTTTCTTGATACCTTGAACATAATTAAACCATACTGCAACATTTAGTGGGATTCTGTTGCCACCAGACACAAGCGGAAGTTGGTAAAATAACTCATATGATTATTAGAATAAAATCAGAATTCTAGGTCTATTACCCTGTGGAGAATAAATGGATATCAGATTTCATAAATTCAATTTTTAAAAATCTCTACCATGTAAAATAGGACAAACAGGATTCCAATATTGATAGAAATGAAAAAAAGATAGCACTCTGAAGCCATGGATACTAATGAATGATATTTCAGCAAAGGTGGTTGTCAGAAGGAGGACGGGCACAGCTGTAAATGTCGTGTTTCTTAGGTAATGTTGTGTTAAAAGAGAATTTCTGTTAATCATGATTTGCAGACATGGTTCTTTGCAGTCTAGGGAACAGGCAAGTGCTTGTTTATGCACACTCCTTGAAGAAACCATATATACAAAGATACTGTTGGGGCACATATGTTTGGCATCTGCTGTATAAAGCCATGGCTATTTTCTATAGTATAAATATTGATAATACTAGATTTTTTTTATTTTTTTGCAAAACATATACAACAATACGAAATATTTACTAACAATCTAAAACACAGTGCACCCCCATACCAACAAGGCCCTTTGGAGAAATTCTTTTACTGTAATATAGTAAGTCAGTTAGTAGACCCACTTGAGTGAATGGAATTTACAGAGGAGTTGACTCACCAAATCTCCATTGATTCCATTGGCCTAGTGTGATTTAGCATGCTAGGCTACAGGATTTTGACCAACAAATGAACCCACACACTAAGATCTGCCAAGGAGGAGGCCCTCCTCTGTTTCTCATAGCTAGAAGTTATACATAAGATGGAGACACGGAAGAGGACCTTCTCTGCTGTGGCGCCCTGGTTGTTAAATATTCTGTTGTTGGATGCTCATCTGACACTAACACAGATCTTACTTTAACACAAAGTTTAAAACCTGGCTTTGCAACTAAGCTTTTGGGACCCAATGACCATGGTTTGCCTTGTATCTTTGGAATTGTGGGATTTTGTCCTCTGTGTTATTCCACTGAAGTAGTATTTTAAACTGTATTCTAATTGTTCTAACTGTTTTTACAATCTGCACTCCACCATAAGGCCTCTAAAGTAAAATATTTAAATAAATAAAATGGAGTACATTAGAAAAAACTTTATGTAAAAGCAAAGACACATTGGGACTCTTCTTAAAGTCTACCATGATTTTTAATATAATGTTAACCAGAACTATTAGGCATCTGTCCATATGTGTTTAAAATTTTCACATTACTTCGGGACTGAGTCGTTTTTAGGAGATATTCCCTATAAAATAAATAGTAGCATAGGCACATATAAGGACTTCATTTTTTTTAAAAAAAAGATCCAGTCTCTAAGGAATTCGTCAGTATATGTCACATGTAAATATGTGCCCCACAGGGCTTTCTTGATTACAATAAATCAGAGATGACTGCCAAAAGGAGTAATATGTCAGATGGCGTAACAACTTAAGATATTCTGCTATGCTTATAGGGCTTCTCAATCATCTCTTGGTACCCACTCACATAATATTATTAACTCCAGAAAATACGATTCTTTTAACTTGGGATAATGCTATTAATCAAAACTGAAGAAGCATCAACTTACAGTGGTCCTACAGTGAAAGGAATGCAGCTGACTCCCTCTTGTCATTCAAAGAGACTGAATGCTTTCAATCATATGCCATACTTGAAACTGGAAGCAACACAATTCTGACCAACAGTAAAGAACCAAATACTTTTATCATAGGAGGTTGGGGGGGGGCGGGGAGAGAGAGTATTTATGACTCTTGGAAAATTATCCTCCCTAAACAGACTGCAACATACATTTCTTCTAGACAGATGCTAGCTGGAAAAATAACTCCTGTACTCATTTTCTTCCATAAGCTGCTAGGAAAGTTAAATGCTCTGTGGTTCAAAGGATCCCCCCCCTTCCCCCTTATTCCTTGAGCAGTGATAACATTTACCTGCAAAGGACTCCTGGCACAAAATATTAGTCAGATAATGCAGTTTCATCAAATACTTATCCAACTTTTTCAGTGATACACCTTTCAACCCTAAAAATAGCATAGTGATTTCTGGAGCATTACAGACTTGCTGAATAAACATCCTGAGGTAAGAAAATCTGACAAGAAGCACAACTACTCTGAGAACAGGTCTGTATGCTCCCTTTTGCAAACCTTACCTTATTGTGTTTTTGCTGGTGCCTTGTCCTAGTATCCAAAACATGGTAAGGACTTTCAGAGTCTCTATTCAAATAATAGACAAGTCTTGAAGGCAATATGATTTCTTTCTGGAATGCACTGCTGGGATTGTTATTTTTGCTGCTACTACTATTAGTATGATGAAATGCAGTATCTTCATCTGCCGGGATTCTTTCTGTTTCTCCTGCAGTTTCATTCCAGTGTCGAGCTACGGAACACAGACAGAACCATCATATATTCATACAGCACTTTAATGCATTTTATAATGTGGCTTAAGTTGTGCTAATTTACTTAAATTGAAAAATGTAGCCATAGCCATTAATCCAGTGTATTTGATTATAATGCGGGCATGTATCTGTTATGCATTACTTTATATTATAAATGTAACACCATAAAATATTTTAAATATGCAGGACTCAATTTACAAAGTACTCATGAACTTCTTTCTGCCAATGTTTCAGGCAAATATTAGCAAAATGAAAGAAATTTGTGAATCTGCTGCACATACTACAAGTCTTTAATTCATGTGCACTGAATATTAATCGGTGCCCTTTACATAAGGGCCCCTTTCACTATGTTATTAATCACACATCCTTGAATAACTAAAAGCTCCAAAAAAAATTCAGTAGGATTTATTCCTAAACAAACATTTAAATGCTTGAATGTGGCCTATAATCACACATCTCGCTAGAGACCAAATTCCAGACTTGTCTGCCCGCATTACAAAATCTTTTGTAAGCAAAAGGTACACTTTATCCTATTATCAATGTAAGATAAAATAGCCTATAAAGCGAGCTTTCAAACAGAAATCCTCATTATTTGTGACATTTAAAGATCATGCATACAACTAGAACCCTTGAAAACCTTCCAATGTTGTTTTGCTGCATCAGCGCTTTTTGCAATTTTATTTGCTGAGCATCATAAACCAATAAGAAGATAATAAATATGTGTACTAGTATGAGTAAGACTGAAAATTGGATTGATCAGTAGATACAGTGATCAGTCAATTCATATATAACAGGGTCAAATAAGTAAAACAATAAAATATGTATTTTTTTCTCTCCTTCTCTCTCTCCCCACGTCCCCTCCTCTCCCTAACAGGCGGTTAGGGGAGAAAAGAGAAATCCAGCTGCAATCATAATAAATTATTACTACCGAAGGGAAAAAAGAGAGGCCCTTTAGATAGAAATTGCGTCAACACCGAAACAAATCTGTGCGTGAAATTACGTGTGTGGAAGAACTTCGGCCTTATTATAGTGCGCTCCGCACAATAGGCGGCCAAACCCAGGACGTGGTTTGTGGTGCATTATCTCCGGGAGGCAGTGGAAGATAGGAGGATGGTTTGTGGTGCATTATCTCCGGGAAGGCAGTGGAAGACGGGAGGGCCTGGCGTGCTCTAGTCCATGGGGTCACGAAGAGTCGGACACGACTGAACGACTAAACAACAACAACATCACAAGGAGAAGACTATTCACAAGGAAGTGGCATGAAGAGGGTGGTTGTCAGAGAGTCAAAAAAAGAGGCACAAATACACACATGCACGCAGGCGCGCACATACAGACGGCAGGAAGGAAGGACGGACAAACGTGGAAAAGGGAAGAATAAGCAGACGCCGGTGCTCCTTACGTGTGAACCCTGGCATCACACACGCGTGCCCACAGACACACACACACAGACACACATGGAAAGAGGGAACAATCCGCCTGGCAGGAGGAAGACGCTTCTGCCACCCCCGCATTCCCCACCTGCAGAGGTGAGAAAGGGAAACGGGAGGAAGCTGAGGAAGAGCAGCACGGAGAGGGGGGGAAGGGGGGATCTCCCTCGCCGGACCCGGACCCACCCCCACCCCCCACCCTGCACACTTACCGGTGTCCGCAGTGACCCCCGAGCTCTGTGGGCGAAAGAGCAGGAGCGTGAAAAAGACGAGGCGCAAGGGGCGCCCCAGCTGGGTCCGCCGCCTCGGGGGGGCAGGAGAGGCGCCTCCGGCAGCAGCCGCCGCAGCCCCCCAGAGGCCCAGGAGGAGGCGGAGGAGGCGGCGGCGGCGGCAGCATGGAGGCGAAGGCTGCCGTCGAGAACTTCTGCCAGGCGGCTTCATGGCTCATCGCTTCCCTCGGGGAAGGTCGGGTCGGTCGGTCGGTCGGGGTGGCTGAAGCGGTGGTGCTGAGGAAGAGGCGCCTCGTCTGGACCGG